CGCCGTTATTGCCGGGCTCATGCCGGGCCGGACCTCGAAGCAAATTCGGGAGAAGGCCCGGTCTTGGGCTAAGGCGCACGGTGGGAGGGCCGCATGCGGGGAGGGTGGTGCGCCGCTTTTAGAGCCTCTCACTGACAGAGATCTTCCCGCGGATGAGGGATTGGACTTGGCGGAGCCAGTGCCTGCGTACCTCCACCAGAAGCAACGTCGCCCGCCCAACCGGTCCAGGAACCGCGCGCCGGCAGATCGTCGTTGACCGACTGGAGAGCCAGAGCCATCGATTATGCTCTGAAGATCGATGTGCCCGGGGACGTAGAGGAAGTTATGTGGGCAGCTAAAACATGCAATGGCGTTCTGAAGGGGGAGATCCCTCCGACTCGTAGAAGTCGCACGGATAGAACGGCGAGAGGGCGTGGGGCCCGACTAAGAAAAGAGTACACTGCCACGCAAAATATGTATAAAGATTGTCCTCGGAAGCTGGCCACGCTGGTGGAAGACGGCGACCTGCAAAGGCTCGCAGGAAATGGACTGGAAGAAATGAACAGTTCTCCGGAGTCAGTAGAGTCGTTCTTTGAACGATTGTGGAACACCGGTACCTGGGAGGAATTTAAAAATAAATTTATATGCAGATTTAAAACGGGAAGGAAGGATAGGGATGTGGTAAATTGGGTAATAGAAGTTACGGCAGATATAAGGAGAATATTATTAAGGATAGAAAGGGTATTTATTAAATTTTATTCGTGCAGAGTGACTGATTATGTGGGGGTGATAAGATGCAACATTCTTTACGAATATGGGCACATGCAGGCTGTATATGGAAGGAAGGAGAGGACGTGCAGAAAATGTGGAGAAGGCCACATGATTAAAAGTTGTAAGGATAAGGATGGAAACAAGTGTCCTGCATGCAAAAGGACGACTAGGGATTTCAATCATAGATTAGGGGATAAGAAATGCATGAGTTACAGACTACCTTTACAAGGTAGGATACTGAGAACAGATTATGGGGTATGATAGGATTTTAAAATTAGGGCAAGTAAATTTGAGATTGTGGAACCCCGGAGAGTCTGACGACGCATATGAAGTGGTTGGCGACACCTCTGAGGGTTTTGCATTTGCATGCATAAGCCCGAAGGAGGTGCACGCGGCCATGATGCCGGTAAGCAGAAGAGCGCGGAGACGGAGGGGATCCTGCGCGAGGACTTGTCAAGAGTAGCGGGTATGAGGGCTACCCTTGCTAAATTATATACAATTCTCGCCACTTTTGGCGCAAATGGCTGGAGAATATGACTGTAAAGATACCTAAGCTAGGTAAAGATCCAACAAGTCCGGGCTCATGGAGACTCATTACGCTCGCCCCCATGACGGTAAGACTCTATAGCAGCATACTGCTAAAAGAATATCGTGCGTGGCAAATCTGGATATCAGACAGAGGCCTTTGTCCCGATAAATGGGACATTTGAGAACAGTTTCATCCCGGACGAGCTAATGCGAAGCATACGCAACTGAGGCCGTCGGGATGGACTGGTTTTGCCGCAGCTAGATGTGGAGAAGGCATTTGATTTGCTTGGAAAAAGGTTTCATTTGATTGAAAAAAAAAGTTTCATTTGGTTGAAAAAAGGTTTGATTTGATTGAAAAAAAAAGTTTCATTTGATTGAAAAAAGGTTTGATTTGCTTGGAAAAATAGTTTCATTTGCTTGAAAAAAGGTTTCATTTGCTTGGAAAAAGGTTTCATTTGCTTGGGAAAAAGGTTTCATTTGATTGAAAAAAAAGTTTCATTTGGTTGAAAAAAGGTTTCATTTGCTTGGGAAAATAGTTTCATTTGCTTGAAAAAAGGTTTCATTTGCTTGGAAAAATAGTTTCATTTCATTGAAAAAAAGTTTGATTTGGTTGAAAAAGTTTCATTTTCTTGGAAAAAGGCTTCATTTGATTGAAAAAAAGTTTCATTTGCTTGGGAAAATAGTTTTATTTGGTTGTAAAAAGGTTTCATTTGCTTGGAAAAAGGTTTCATTTGACTGAAAAATCCTATATGTACGAATCAGGAAAGATTAGGTGTGAGTATAAATTCTATCCAACCTTTCTACACAGACCTTCCAACCCCATTTGTTCTCAAAACCACAAGAAATCTATACAGACGCCTTCATAAAACTTTGAACGCTAACCGACAATTCTCCGAGACGCCATGGACTCGCGAGTTCCTCCCTAGTGAAGAAAAGTTATCATTACTTAATCTTTATATAAGGTATTTGTTGAGATAAAAAAAGTCAGTGTGACGAGCGGGATTCGAACCCACGACCCTCGGCTAAATACGCAGCTGCTCTAACCACTTGAGCTATCGTCACTTCGATCCACACGGACACCAATTTCCCATCTCAACCCCACCTTTCGAATTTTTCCTCCTTTTTGCCATTTTTTATATCAACAAATACCTTATATAAAGATTAATTAATTGAAAAATGTTATTCGGTCAATCGGACCACGAACTCTTATGAGTTATCATTACTATCACTATACAGTCTTCACTTGTTTTGAAATTTGTATTGAGGAAATATTTTAGGATCAAAAATAATTCCATAATTATGTTTCTATCTTTGACTTTGCTTGATATATTTTTCAATAAAAAATATTCCATTTCTCAAATTTATATTTTATTGTATTTTTTATTCTTTACGAAAAAAAAATTATAAAGGAACAAATTGTGACATTCCATTTTAATAGCTGGCGATAGCCAGGACTTTTATTTCTGAAAATGGTTGGAAGGTCTAATTGGTTTTGCTCTATCATCAATACATAAAGATAATTTTTACGGAGTAGTGTCGTAAAATATTAAATAGCACATGAAAGATTGAAAAATCATATTAGAGCAATTAGTTCATTAATTTAAAAAACTATCATGGAATACGATAAGATTGAAGATAATGCAAAAACTATTTATTCTCAAGTTCCCACCGACTTTACAACTTAGTTCTCTTTGTCGACAATTTCTAGGACCGCTTGACTAAAAGTGAAAACGTACTGTTTTCATGAAAATGACAATCTGTTGTTTGAAAAAAACGAAGACCTCATCGATCCCCCGCTGTACAAATAATCACAAGTCTGACACGCTAAGAATTTTGTATTCGTCGGCAATGAGAAATAACGATTGATATCGATTGTCACAGTCTGACTTAGTGCATATTTTTTTCTGAATCATCGACCGGCGAACATTAATAAACAAATAAACACAATCAGCTTTTACTTGGTTGCGACGAAACCTAATAAATGACAAATTGTAGGACGATATGATGTTTACAAACAACGATCGTTATATTGGATTGTATGTAAATTAGTTAATATTCTTATGCATATTTCTGAAAGATATTGAAAAACAATTTCAACTTAATTTATAAATGATTATTCGGAGATTGTGAGATGCGGTCTGGTGTGACGTAGGTTTTAGAAAAACATTTTCTTTATCGTGCCAACGTTTCGATCTTTATTGCGATCATCTTCAGGATCTCTCAACACGACAGACAAGAATGACACATCTACACGGAAAACAAACACTTTGAGCCCTGAAGATGGTCTAACTAAAGATCGAAACTTGGCACGATAAAGGAAATGTTTTTCTAAAACCTACGTCACTCCAGACCGCATCTCACGATTTCCGAATAACCATTAACTAACGGTCACTAAACTCCACACATTAATTTATAAAATAACAATATTTCCATAAATTGTTTCTAATAATTGTCTTCATAAGTTGATCCATGACTGGCAAAATAAATACAGCAGAGTTTTTTGGATTTTAAGATTGCAAATCGCGCATGTTACATAGTCAGATTTTACAATAAAACAATAAAATTTTATTATATTCTCANTTATTTTGATTAAAGAACATTGCTTTAAAGTAACTAGTTTCTTTTTTTTTGTTTAATACCAAAATCCTGCATTATTTTCCGGACAACCCAATATATATATTGTCTCGAGAACAGACGTCAATTCTTGAGAAGGCTATCCTACACGTCAAACTGGACTGAAAAGTTCCTATTGTCCCAAGTCAGATTCACAATTGTAATCGAAATATTTCACTTTTTCACGTTACTTCAACCTTTTTACAAATTTAATCCATAAATTCCGCCTTATCTCATAAAATGTTAAACCTATCGTAAATTTGATTACACCAATGCATCAGCATTGGAAAACTTACGAGAGAGGTCAGTTTTTTTTAATCTTAACCTGTAAAATACAAACAGCTTTCACTAATTAAACATTCATTGGGGGCGTCGGTGGCCGCAACGGTTTAGGCGTTGACACGGCGCTCATCACTGTAAGGTGTTTTTGTTGTGATGTTTGTAAATCCCAGGCCCTGAAGATGATCTCAATAAAGATCGAAACGTTGGCACGATAAAGAAAATGTTTTTCTGAAACCTACATCACACCAGACCGCATCTCACGATTTCTAAATAAATATCGATTAACGGTCACTAATCACCACACAAATGTATTTAAGTTTTTTCTCACGAGTTTTTTTCCTTCAGGTTGAAAATGAGGTTAAGACATAAAAAAACAAGTGTTTTCCCGATATATTATTTTTTCTTTACACCTTACCTTAAGTCTCTGTACACTGGGTGCATTAGATCTCTAAATTTGAGGATATTATACAGGTTTTTCAACAAATAATTACATGAAATTTAAGGACATAAAAGTAAAAGAAAATTTCCCAAAAACAAGTTTAAGAATAATTTTTTGACAGACTATCCGTTTATATTCAAAATTTAGCGTACACGAATCAATCAAATTGCTGTTGGATCGGTTTATTTAAATTATTTTAACATTTTAACGTATGAATTTTATAAAATTAATTGTTTTGTTTTGTATTTGACTTGTTAGCATTTAATGTCGCTTTTTCACTTATGTGGTTTGTTCATTCTTTTCACTTCACCTTTTTTATGTTTTACTATTATTCTTTTCTTCTTACCTTCAATTCGTAGTAAGTTTTTTTTTTCAATTACGGATTTTTTTTATCAATTTGCGTTACGATCATTTCCAATCAAATAATTTATTAACACAGGCTCAAGAAATAACAATTCTAAGGCAGAGATATGGCCGGAAACGCCGATGCCAGATACTATCTCACTACCGGATTACAAATCGTTCGACAGGTCGAATGAGACCATTCTCGAAGACTCCTCCGGAGGGATTCCTGAAGATGACAAAAATCCGGTAAATCTTGTTTAAACGTCTCATTTTCCTTCCAGGAAGGTTGTTAAAAACCGTGTTATTTTGTGTCCTGAAAGGATCGAGAGAGTTTGTTCTTCAGAGATGGCAAGAGGAGGATCGACCTGGTCATCGTCTACGAAGAAGTAGATTTCGAAGTCGGCGTCCTGTCCGAGGTGGACACCCAGCGACTCGAAGCGAGAAGGCAATTCCAGAAAAACCTGGAAAAAGAAGGATTGGAATTAGAACTGGAGGGGAAACAAGTAAAACGCCTCGTCAAAGATACAAAACATTATCTAAGTTTTAACTGATGCCATCTTCTTCCAGAGTTCGTTCGATCAAAAGACCTCCTTCCTGAAAGTCCACGTCCCCTGGAAAGTGCTGACACGTTACGCTGAAGTCATGAACCTCAAAATGCCCATAAAGGTAAACTTTTCATTCCAAGCCCGTTTAGGAAAATTCTGTTATACATAATACGTCTCGTTGTTTACAGAGCTTCAAGCGCCTTTTGCGCACAGATACCCCGGCTTCTGGCCAGTATTTAAGACGATCAAACAAACGCCCGGTAAAAGACGAACAAAAACCAGACAAAGAAATAAAGTTTTAACGGAACTATTCGAAAAGAATATTTTTATTATCGCTTTACAAAATTCTCGCTTTTGTACACGTTCAATTTTTGTCCGAAAGGCCTGGTATTGTTTTCTTACTTTTTACATTTTGCATATGGCAACTTGAAGCAAAAAAGTGGCCGCACGATCTTTTGACAGATTTTATATTTGAGAAAACACGTTTAAATTTTTTAGTGTGATTATAAGCATGTAAAGCACTTTTCTATTTGGTACGAAGTTGGGTCAGAACGAAATTACGGTCCTTTTTGAAACCATTTTAAACAGATTTTTTACTTTGTTTTTTCTAAAATGAATGTTTTATTGTGTGTCTTTTCTTTCTTTGAAACGTTTCTAGCATGAAAATTAAAAGTGATCTTTGATTTGACATATATATTTTTAAACTTTTTTTAAAATCTCACTCAACGGTATCATTCGTGTTTAATTTTGTTTTTTTGTTTTTTATTTCAGAGGTTTCTCTCCATTTCCGTAAAAGCTTGGGTAAGTCTTATATTCGATTTAAACGAGAAAAAACCGCGACTACATAAATTTATAACCAGGAGGGCGAAGAGAAGGTCGCGGATGCGGAGCCCTACTCCTTCCCGTTGTCGAAGATCTTCGAACTGGACCCATCGAAGATCGCAGAAGAGCCGTCCTTCTACACGGCCACTTTCAGCCGAGACCGTGAAGAACAGTTTGTCGTCAAAGATAGAGAGACTTTCTTCACATCGGCCCAGAGATCGCAGATAGCCTGGCAAATACTCCTGAGGACGAAATACGACGAAGAACGAAAAGTAAAACACCTTTTTAAAAGAAATAACAATAATAAAAGAAACATTGTTAGAGATAGTGGTCTGAACTGTAGATATGCTGAAAATAACGGTCATTAATAATAACTCGAGCTATATTAGATGATGATGGTAAAATAAATCGTAAAGATTGCTTTCATTATTTCTGCTACTTTCTTTCGTAGCATTCGTGTTCATTTTTCTAACACATTTGTTCTATAAGATTCATGTCAGTAGAATGTGCTGGCCAATTCAATGTAGTAATCCCTACATCCTCCAAGCAATGTGACAAATCGTGTTACATACGGTCGAACATTATCATGCATTATCAACGAAGTTGTCCCCAATAAATAGAGCGAATGGGATCACACCTTGAAGAAGAACTTCCTCAACGTACGTTATTGCAGTAAAGATTCAATTGTATGATAATTAGTTCGGTACGGGCATGGACGTTTATATACTATACCATACTGTTTTTAAAAAGGCTGTGAATCACTCATGAAGCAAAACGTTTCCATGTCTTCTCCACAGACGGTCCCGGTCATATGATTTCCACAAACTAAACCGCCACTCATCTGTGAAGAGAACAGCCCTCATTTTTCAAGTGTCTAAAGCCCGGAACATACTTACCCTATGCGACGCTACCCGATGCTACCCGACGCAAATCCAAAGTCCAAATTTTCCATAAGTTCGTATTACCCCCGTGCACATCTGCCCGATGCTATGCAACGCTACCCTACTCTACGCTCTGCGATTCCTACTGTCCAGATTTTCGTCGGGTCGCATCGAGTACAGTCGAAGACAAAAGAACCGGACACTCATATTTTTATTCAAACTACATGTATTATTGTCGTTATATTAATTACAACATAACTCTTTAATATAAACCAAATTAACCGAGATCAAAAATTCTTTAGTTTTTTAAATTAATTTTAATGGTTTGATATAAAATTGATCAAAACATCGGAATTCCATTTTTTGATATAATGATTTTAACTAACAATTTATTACACGGTTTTGCTCATAAAATTTAACTAACAATTTATTTCATGGTTTTGTTCATAGAATTACGCCATTTTCGTCGAGTAGCTTGAGAACAGGACACTCATAGTTTTGTAGTTTATTTTAAACTAAGTACATGTAATATTGTCGTTATATTAATTACAACATTCCTATTTTACTGTAAAACAAATTAAACGAGATCAAAAATTCATGTTTTTATAAAAATTATTTGTGATGGTTAGGAAGAAAATTTATCAAAACACCGGAATAACTTTATTTAAAACAGCTCATAAAATTTAACTAACAATTTATTACATGGTATTGCTCAAAATAATGCATTAAGAAAAAATGAGGGGTTGCGATTGTGATACTGATTTGTGATACACGCTGTGTGACTACGTGGCGTGTGCTTGACGTCGCATAGATGAGCACACCCTACCGAAACGTGACAAGGCTGACGGGTAGCATCGGATAGCGTCGCATAGCGTTGCATCGAGTAAGTAAATCTTAAACTAAAGTTAAACCAGTAGTAGAGGACCTGATGAAGGACGTCTAGAGGCTAGGCTATTTTCACGAAGCCTTCTGATTTGTTGTTGAGCTTTGTTTTGAAGCTCACTTTTACATTACGTACAGTTTGGAGTTGACTACCTATCAAGGAAGTCGTTTATGACGGTTTCGTATGCGGTAAGAGCAATAAAACCTCGCGGTTGACCACTACCTTTTCTTTGACCGTGACTTCTGATGGCCTTAAACCGCAGTAGACTATCGTGGAAGGTAGAGCGCGGCACACCCAGGGCTTTGCCTATGTAACGGATTTGGGTTTTTCGATGGGTGTCAACACACCTTTGAGCCTCGGGGTTTACACGGTAAATTTTGCAACATTTAACAGAAAATTTCGACACGTTTCTTCAGAATCTTTCGATTAATAAACGAGATATTGAAGATAATAATCGGAGGGCCTCAAATTTGTTTCGTTTGGGGATCCCTTAATACACGGTTTGGGTTCTGTGAGAAGCTAACATTTCTACAAAATTTGAGGTCACCGCACCTCACGACCTCCAAATAATCATTGCCTAACAGTCACTCAGTACCACACATTTCTCTCACAAAATTTTGAATCAAATTTACACGGTTGATTATCAGACATTTTTAATTTCGGTAAAATTTGTATATCGATTAGCGAGATTTGATGGGAAATGTGATATTGGGTGAATCCTATAACATACTTGGGTCTCCTGGGTTCATGTCTCTCACAAAATTTCAATCAAATTTACAATGTTGATTATCAGGCATTTTTAGTTTCATTACATTTTGTGGATCGATTAGCAAGATTTGATAGGAAATATGATATTGGGTGAATCCTATAACATACTTGGGTCTCCTGGGTTCATGTCTCACAAAATTTCAATCAATTTACACGGTTGATTATCAGACATTTTTAATTTCGGTAAATTTTGTAGATCGATTAGCGAGATTTGATGAGAAATTTGATATTGGGTGAATCCTATAACATACTTGGGTCTCCTGGATTAATGTCCCTCACAAAATTTCAATCAAATTTACATGGTTGATTATCAGACATTTTTAGTTTCATTAAATTTTGTAGATCGATTAGCAAGATTTGATAGGAAATGTGATATTGGGTGAATCCTATAACATATTTGGGTCTCCTGGGTTCATGTCTCACAAAATTTCAATCAATTTACACGGTTGTTTATCATGACGGTTGATGAATTTTTTTTAATTTTTGAGTCGTTTCATTAATTTTGTATATGATAAACGGTATTTTAAAGGAAATTTATTATTGGGTCAATTTTCAGTTTCAAGCAAATTTACACGGTATATTTTGCAACATTGAACAGAAAATTACAAGGTTCGTCCGTTTAGACTCAAAAAGATTCATTTATGTTATATTATTTATCGAACAATGCATCTGACATTGAAATCTCCACATTATTTGTACACTAAAAAATGTTATAAGAAGGATAATAAACGAAATTCACATATTTCTGAAGACAAACATTTTGACTACTTCACTGTATTTTTTTAACTTAACAAATTAATTGTGTTTATTTATAGGGTGGAATCAGGAGGCTCCTTAGTAACGGAACTTACATTTCAGTGTTTCCATTGCACGAAGGCGCTTATGAAAGAGATGCCATCAACAACCTCCAATTGGACAGAAGAGTAATTACAATTTTTAATTTATTATTACGTTTTACAAAATTACAACAAACTTTTGAATACATTGAAAAAATATTTTATTTTTTTTAAAGATATTTATTTTATTTATTGCTATCTGTACATAATATACATTGAGCAAATAGTTAGTTATAAACTAATCTGACAGACCTGTCAGACCAGAAGGCAGTGGGGAGAGAAACCAACTTTTATTTAATTGGGGGGGGAGTAAAAGTTAATTTGGTGGGTTATATAGAAGGTCACGAGGCCATCGTCGTTTTAAACGGCGTGGAGGATTGTAAGGGTGAGATGTTGAGGAAAGAGTTAGGGCTAGTGGGTTAGGATGGAGGGAGAGTTTAGAGTGAAAAGTGAAGAAGCGTGTATGGATAAGATCTTTCACGAAAGGGATTTTAAGATCTTTATGGATCGTTTGATTTGTGACGTAGAAGGGAGCATTGAGGAAACGGCGGAGAACTTTAGATTGAAAAGACTGAATTCGTTGGATATTGGATGATTTGGCCGAGCCCCACAGCTCGACTCCGTAGGTCCAAATAGGTCTGATGAGTGTTTTGTAAGCGGTTAGTTTGTTATGTATGCTTAGTTTTGATTTTGGTCCAAGAAGGTGTCTGAGTAGTCCATATCTTTTGTTAAGTTCTTGCCGTTTTAATCGTGTATGTGGGTTCCAAGTAAGTCTACTATCTAAGTAAAGCCCAAGGTAGCGGACTTGGTTCGATGGTGGTATTATTTTGTTGGAAATGTGCACTGGTGGACAGGTTTGTCGTTTGAGCGTAAATGTAACGTGTTGGCTTTTTTGTTCGTTTAACCTGATCCGCCACAGATTGCACCAGTTGGTAATAAGGTTCAGGTGTTGTTGGAGTGCTTCTGTTGCTAGGATAGGATTGGAGTGTGTTGATAAGATTGCGGTGTCGTCCGCGTAGGCTGTGATTTGTGTGTTTGGATGTGTGGGTATGTCAGCAGTGTACATGGTGTAGAGGATTGGGCCTAGGATACTTCCTTGTGGAACGCCAGCTTTGATTGGTGTGATAGGTGAAAACTCGATGCCGATTCTTACTTTAAACCATCGATCTGAGAGGAAGGATTTCACGATAAGGTAGTAGGCCTGAGGGAGGATACATTTTAACTTATAGAGGAGCCCGGGGGTGCCATACTCGGTCAAATGCTTCCGTGACGTCCAAAATACGGCTGAGCAGTATTGTTTGTTTTCTAGAGCCGAAGATATCGTGTCGACTACTCTGAAGCACTGCTGAACAGTAGAATGGAGAGGTCGAAACCCAAATTGATGGTTCGGAATTACGTTTTCAGAGTCAAATATAGGAATTAATCTTTTAAGGAGGATACGTTCAAAGATTTTGGATAAAATAGGAAGAAGGCTTATTGGTCTATAAGAGGATGGGGCACTGGGGGATTTGTGTGGTTTTTGTATTGGAGTTATTAAAGATAGTTTCCACTGGATAGGGAAATAGGTTGTGCGAAATATTGCATTGTAAATAGAGATAATGTACACTATTGCTTTTTTGGGTAGATTTCGGAGGATTTTAGGGGTAATTAGATCATGGCCTGGGGATTTTCTTTCGGAAAGGCGGAGAATCTGGTACATTACATCAAAAATAAATAAAACAATTTAAACAACAATCATACGAAATACATTTAAAAAGCTTGTCAACAGAGGATGGGAGCCTCTGGCGCAGTACTAAACGTATCCTGCGCCATAGCGTTGTCTCAGCTCCTCTCAGGAATGATGATAGAACTTAGATCGTTTCCGGTAAATAAAAGTCCAAAACATTTGCGAAACATCTCTCCGAGGTATTCAAACCTCATAACATAATGAATACCGAACACGATAAATTTATATAGATTCACTTGTGACACCTATACCACTAGATCTGCCACCTAAACCAATAACTCCAAAACAAGTATCACAAGAAATACGACAGCTTCCTAAAAGCATCAACTGGTCATGATTTGATAACAGCTGAAGTTCTTCAAGAACTTCCCAAGAAAGCAGTCGTCTTTCTGACTTCTTTATTTAACGCAATTTTGAGGACTACACACTTTCCCATACAATGGAAACTTTCTTACATTAAAATGATCCCAAAGCCCCATAAAAATTTCATCTTATCCATCATCTTATCGTCCTATTAGTTTGTTACCCGTTAATTCGAAAAATTAATTTACAAATGAATTGCTACTTCCAACAACATCTTACCAGACCATCAATTTGGCTTTCGAACCCATCGTTCCACCACTCATCAACTTCACAGATTTCATTACTTCGCGTCTCGAGCAGAAACTGTACGCGACTGGAGTGTTTCTAGATGTTTCTCAGGCCTTCGACAAAGTATGGCATGAGGGATTATTATACAAATTAAAATTATTTTTACCCCAGGCCTATTATCTGATTATACATTCATACCTTAAGAGAGATTTTTCGCAGTAAACCAGGGTACGGAGACTTCTGGGATGGAAGAAGTGCTTGCAGGTGTGCCACAAGGGTCAATACTCGCTCCGCTGTTGTACACAATTTTTACTTCTGATATGCCCACAAATGAGAATACACTTACCGCCATATTAACAAGCCATCTCTCTTCTACACAAGCTTCACTCATGTTACAAAACCACATTTCAGCAATTGAGAAATGGAGCACTCTTTGGAAAATAAAGTTTAATCCCTCAAAGTCACAACACACCACCTTTACACTCCGTCGTGAGACTTGTCCTACTTATACAATGAACCTGTTCCTCAATCCGACAAAGTTAACTATTTAAGACTTACATTTGATAGAAGACTAACTTGGAATCCACACACACGATTAAAAAAACAGACACTCAACAATTTTAAATGCTTTATTACCTACTCAACCTACAATCAAAATTACCATTAAAATCAAAACTTTCGACATACACATACCTACTCAAACTTATTTGGATGTACGGGTGCCAAGTACATGGATCGGCCAAGTATTCCAATATTCAAAGATTACAAAGTTTTCGATCCAAAATTTTACGACTAATTGTTTCTGCCCCTTTTTACGTAAATAATAACACACTTCACAGAGATCTTCAAATCCAAACAGTTTTTCATCCATCATAACATATTACAGACGTTTTCATAGTAAATTACAAAATCACACCAACACACAAATACGATTACTTTTTCATTAATCCAGAGCGGCTGCCAATGGGTAGCTTTCTCTATAAGGCCCGTAATACCACAAACACAAATTACCCAATCTGCTGGTTGTATATAATACATGTACAGTTGTAAATACAAATAAATGAAGTCAGAAAAAAAATATTACGTTTTAACGTATAATTATTATTACGTTTTGCTTTGAAGTTGTTATACTTGGAATGGGCCCGTCCTGGAAGGTGGTATAAGAAACAGCCCCTTTGGCTCGTCAGGAAGTATTTCGGCGACAAGATAGCACTGTACTTCGCCTGGCTCGGCTTCTACACCGAAATGCTCATCCCTCCAGCCATAGTCGGTCTTCTATGCTTTCTCTACGGCCTTTCATCCATGGATTCCACAGACAACATACCAAGGTAAACCAGCTGAGATTGTCGATGTACAGGCTTTAACGGAACTCTGTCTGCAGTAAGGAGATCTGCGACGAGACGGGCCCTGGGAATATAACGCTGTGCCCTTTGTGCGACAAGGTCTGCAGGTACCAGAGGCTGGTCGACTCGTGCGTCTTTTCAAAGATCACCTATCTGTTCGACAACCCGGCGACAGTGTTCTTCGCGATTTTCATGTCTTTCTGGGGTAAGAGCCTTTTTTTTACAATTTGAGGAGGTAAAAATTGGTATGCCTTATCAGTAAATTATTCTCAGGGCCTCTTGGATATCTGCCAACCTTAACAAAATTCCTACCTTTTAAATAACCCAAACACAAAGTTGAGGGATCTTTAACACAAAAACCAACTACTAAGCTCGGATTTCTTTGTTTTTAGTTCATTCTCGGAGATCTCTCAGACACAATAGTTTCAATATACGAGAAATTGTTGTAGGTGAAAGATGATCAAATATAGGTTATTTCAAACAAACACACCGAAGATGGTAAAATGCCGAAACGTGTCTAACAGCCCACGGCTATTATAGGCAGATTCCTCCCTGGTTTGGCCTGCCAGGCGTGTGTCTGTGATGATGGGTGATCCAAACCCACTTGGTGTATTCGTGAGATTGTAAATAGGATGTCTGCTAAACTCAAAAGAAGATCGGAAATATTTGGTCACGATTGTAACAAATTTATTCATAAACGGGAAAAGCAGGGATCATTTCTAGGTGTAATTAGCTAGGCATTTACCATTTATTAATTTGAATTATCAATATGAAAATGAGCAAACTTATAAAAGTTCACGATTGACAAAGTAAACGCAGAATGATGCAGTGGCCTGTTAGACGCTTTTCGGCATTTTACCATCTTCGGTGTCTGAGGTAACCTAAAACCAATATCTAGGGTAGATATTTGACTAATTTATATCGGGTCAATGGGTTTTTATCATGGAACTATTTATAGATAGCATGACTTATGCAACTGCACGATTTCGTTGGAATCCCATTGATTATCGTATCTTTCGAGCCATCTCAGTTTTAATTTTATAGTGTAACAAACTCGCGTGTAAAATTTGCAATCGTTTCACTTTTTTCCCTTACGAAAAAAAAACTCAAAAAGATTTAATTTATTCGACCACGGTAATTGCAGCGACGACGTTTCTCGAGCTTTGGAAAAGAAAGCAGGCGGTGATCGCCTGGGAGTGGGACCTCCAGTACACGGAAGAAGATGAAGAACCCAGGCCGGAATTCGAATCTTCTGTCAACACGTACAGGACGAACCCAGTGACCAGGCAGAAGGAGCCGTACATGCCGCCCACCCAGAAAGCGTGGAGGATGGCCATCACAGCTTCTACGGTCTTTTTCATGGTAGCCTAATTAACCCGGTTTCAATCAGAGCTCAGTTAACTCACTTCTTAATTTCAGATTTTAGTTGTGCTGAGCGCTGTCTTGGGTACGATCGTGTACCGGCTTTCAGTCGTGACTTACATATACGAAGGAGGCAACATGTTCGTGAAAAGGCACGCTAAAATCTTTACTTCCATTACTGGTGCATTGATCAATCTTATAATTATTATGATTCTGACAAGAGTAAGTTATTTAAAACAAAAAAAAAAACATACTTTTAAATGTAATAAGTAAATTTTATTTTAGTGTTACCATGAAATTGCGATATGGCTCACCAACCAAGAAAACCCGAGAACGCAAATTGAATACGAAGATTCTTACACTTTTAAAATATACTTTTTTGAATTTATGAACTTCTACTCATCACTGATCTACATTGCTTTCTTCAAGGTAAAAATAAACTATTTTTAACGAAATACACAATTGAGTATGCATTTATTTTCAGGGACGGTTCTTCAGCTACCCCGGGGATCAGGATTCTAGATCTTCGGAATTTTCGAGGATAAAAGGCGACGTGTGTGACCCTGCGGGCTGTTTATTCGAGCTGTGCATCCAACTCGCCATTATAATGGTGGGGAAGCAGTTCTTCAACAATTTCCTAGAATTGGCCTACCCGTAGGTCCACAATCGATCCAAAAACAAAGAAATATGAGCGAGTTTGACCGTTTTGTTTTGAAACAGGGCAATTATAAACTGGTGGCGGAAAAGAAGTCACAGGTCGCAGACAAAAGACAGGACTCGAGCCTATACCAGGTGGGAAGAAGACTACCAACTGCAAGACCCTGGGAGGCTTGCCCTTTTCGAAGAATACTTAGAAATGGGTATAATATCCTTATATTTGTCTTACTTTTGGATGTTAAAGTTATTGGTCTATAACCGTGCTTCTAGAGCTTATAACCTATAGTTTTTCATTAAACCTAAGGTTCTTAGTTCAGTGAAAAAAATCAATGGCACGAGCGGGATTCGAACCCACGACCTTCGGCTTGATACGCCGCTGCTCTACCACTTGAGCTATCGTGACCTCGATCCACTCGGACACCAACTTCCCATCTCAACCGCACCTTTTGAATTTTCCCTCCTTTTTGCCATTTTTCAATTGGTCAAGCGGACCACGAAATTAGTGAAATTAAACCTAAGGTTTTTTTCTTTTCTTTTCTTTTTTTTAAGAACTCAGAGCAAATAGGTGTCTTCATCAAACTTTCCTTTGGCCAATTTATCAAGTTTTGTTTTCCCCAATGTCTGATAATACATGGTAATATGCACAAAGTGAATAACTTAATTGTAAACTGTTTAAGAAAATCAAGAGGATATTTATGAAGCTCAAGTCTATTGAGAAACAAGTTCTCTGATAGCTGTTTTTCTGTTATATTTGTTGTTTCCAGTGCTTCAATATGGATTTGTAACTTTATTTGTTGCTGCTTTCCCCCTTGCGCCTCTTTTTGCTTTGCTCAACAACATCTGGGAAATACGATTGGACGCATTTAAAATGGTCGCACAATCCAGACGCCCTTTGGCAGAAAGAGTAGAGGACATCGGAGCATGGTTTGGCATCCTTCAAGGCGTTACTTACTGTGCAGTTGTTTCAAATGTAATTTCTATTTTAATATTATATTTTTTCCCTGTTGTAATAAATTGTTATTTCAGGCATTTGTTATCGCTTATACCAGTGATTACATACCAAGGATGGTGTACAAGCTGGTTTATTCAAAAACCAATGATTTGGTTGGATACATTGACTCTTCATTATCAGGTTATTTGATGACTTTTTAATTTTATAGCCTATAAAATAACTCTTTGTGTTTATAGTTTTCAACACATCTGATTACGCTGATAATATGGGCGTGGACAAGGACAGAAATGATGATCTTGAGGCTGATATTTGCCAGTATAGAGGATACAGAAATGGGCCGGACCATCCTATTGAGCCTTACGGTTTATCTCCTCAATATTGGCATGTTTTTGCAGCCAGACTTGCCTTCGTTGTCGTATTCGAGGTATCCACTTGATTCAAATTAAATAATTAATTTTCAATTTTAAATAAAATTTTATTTGAAGCATATTGTCTTCGCTCTGACTGGGATTATGGCTTATGCAATTCCCGATGTGCCTTTGGAAATTCGCACGCAGATCCAGAGGGAGCGCCTTTTGCAGAAAGAAGCGAAGTATGAACACGGCACGAATGCGAAAGAAGAAGACGAGTATGACCAAATGCTTACAGCTTTAAGAGACACTCACAACACCAGCAGGCTTAGCGATGTGATCAAGCGTGGCTCGTGGGGCAGGAGGCTCAGCAAGCAATCGGACGACACGGACCAGACCTCCAGGCACAAAACGATCAACACATCGACTGTCTGGGAAGTCCCTTAACAATCAACAAACACCAATTGTGGATTTAATTTTCAATCTTTTCAACTTTACAAAATTTAGATCGTTCTATTTCAACTGTCTCAGAATTCACTGGGAAATAACTATTTTTATACTTACAATTTGTGATTATTATTCTACAAATCATATCAGTGCGAATGATATTGATGTTACAGTTTTAATTTATTATTTCCTTTAGATTTGACATAGTATAATTTTTGTATATAAGTTTCTTTGGAGAAGTAAAATCTCTTTTCTCTCATTCTATGTGCCTTTAACAAAGCCTCAAGTATAATCTGAAACTTGTGTGTTCTTTAATATTACGTGCCTTTTGTTGGCAATGTCAATAGTATAAATTATTGTATTTTTGTCAATTTTAAAACCTAAAAATGTAAGATTTAAAATAATATGATTTTAATTATTCACACATATATATAGCATTTTTCAGTCAAACGAAACTTTTTTTCAATCAAATGAAACCTTTTTTCAATCAAATAAAACCATTTTTCAAGCAAATGAAACCTTTTTTCAAGCAAATGAAACCTAAAACGTAATGATAATAATTATGTAGAGGAATAAACTAATGACATTATAGTACTAACAGTAATTTTTATGATGATTCAATATTAATATTACAATAATTGAATCATAAGGCTTAGGTACAAGAACGTTTTTTGTGATGATCCGTATTCATCAAACTTTTCTCCATCCACCCCGTCGAAGTTTAATTAAGTGGGATAGAAAAGTGTTTTTGAGCGAGCGACAACTTTCTGTGATAGAAANCGGTTTTGCTTGGAAAGTATCAAGAGAAAAAAAAGAGATAGATTGCATTATTCGCTCAAGATATTTCATTAATATTTGGTGATAATAATTAAGGGATGAATATGTGCTGAATAAAAAAAAATATATTTTAATATTTTGTTTATTTTATTAGTTATTTTTTTAAAATTAAGATCCAAATCTTTATGGTCTTGTTTGCCAAATGGGAACGTCTTTATTTTAAATGTTCTTCGTTTTAATGTATTATTCCATTTCTGCCATTGGTTTATGTGTGTATACATTTTACACATTTGCATCTTGTGATTATTTGTCGACAAATTAATATCCGAATTGCAAAATCTGAACTAGTTCAGCACTTAATGACTATCAATAGTGACTGTTAGTTTATATGTTTATAAATATCATCTCAGAATTAATATAAGTAATGTCTAAATCTTAGTGATATTAAAACATATATATACATAAAAATGTTTGTTTAATATTTGCATTTAATAATACAATTTATAATCAAAAATAAATCATTGTTGTTAGAATGGCTTTTATACAATATTTTTATATTGTGACTAAAAGATGTAATTAAATCAAGTCATAACTTTTTGTGTTTTTTTAAAGCTTATCTTTTTTTTGTGACATAAGTTTTTAATTATTTCCTCTGATTGCAGTGGTCAAGACGTCAAGGGCGTCCGACTCGTATTTGTCACGTCAGCGATTTTGCTTTCAAATCCATCGATATTTATTTTCCAATAATTTGAAGAAAAAAAGTATTGTCAAGTTGTCTTACCACTGGAATACAAACCTTAACATCCTAGTATCCTCATCCTCCTCATCATCACTATGAAAGGAATTTCTTTTCTCTAATTGTCCATTTCGATAATTATAAATTCAAAATTTAAAAGCTTATTGAAACTGTAAATTCTTAAGAGTTAAGCTCATTATAATAGTGATAATACAGTGATCAACTCATTAAATATTTAACAAATTTAAGGACAAAAAGGAAAATGCAAACTTCAAAGTTAATGCTTTTAATGTTATAACAAATTGAAAAATCAGTTACAGTACTTGTCATCTACATTGATGAAAATCCCTCCTGTCAGAAAATCCTTGCAAATATTGTTAGTTTTGATCAACGTGCTTGCAAAACCATTGACTTTCAACTGGAGATGCTTCAAAACTGTTGTGTTGAAGTGGTTTCCGAACCAAGACTGAATGTCATCCGCTAAGAATGAAAACGAACCCGACTTTGATCCAAGCTCTTGGACTGACATTTCGCCTGAGGATATTTTGGGATCATTGGAAATTTTAATATCTTCCAGCGTCGTTGTACAGTCCTTTTTCAGCGTTGTCTTGTTGTGGCTTGTCATTACTGTCATGTGAAAGCTCAACGGAAAGGAAATCGGACCGTACTGGTCAATTGTGCCCCACGAATACATCTCCGGCCTTTCCAGGATGGATTCATAAGCAAAATGAAACCTGAAATTTGATATTTGGTTAAAGCCAAACGTTAAAATGATATAAAGTTTTTTTTTTACCCTTTGGCTTGAAAAACAAGACATTCATCGCATATTATTATTTCATGGTGGTGATGGCTATCTTTCATAGCAGAATGAGTGATGTCTTTCGCATGAACATGTTTTTCAGCACTTGTCATAATGAATCTTCTCAATTTACCTGCTTCCTTGGTACCTGATGCATTTAGCTCAAGGTTCTCAAGCCAACCATTGTAAGCAATAAAGTCAATTCTTACTTTATCTTTCTGCAAAAATAACGATATGTTGGGTTTTTTTGCGGGTCATTTAAGCCACTTTATATCTAAGAGGTATTATTAAGTATAGTACATTTAGAAACTAAATGGTAAAACAAAAATAAATTTTTATTGTGTTGAGGTTTGTAAGGTGATAACTGTGTCTGAGGTTGTCTAAAAATTGAAAATATGAAGATAGCGAGTAGCTGATTCAGCGATAATGGACAGATAAATTATCAGAACAATAGGTTCATCCGCTTAGTGACTTTCCCTGTGTTTTGGGATGGCTGGCTAGGGTTGAAAATGAAGAAATAATATCAACATAAAAATATAGCTGTATAATTTTTTTTTTTTTTTTCAATATATTAGGAGTACCTCGATAACAGTAGGTCCTTTAGTTTTGGGCTCTGGCCGAGAGCTCTAGAAGCGTGATAAGAAAGAGACAACCCCCCCGAGTTCAAGGATCATCCCTGCACAACCATGACACTGCCCCCGCTGAAAATAAAACCATCAGCTTTCCAACCCCTTTGAAGCAATAATTTGCTTTTCCATCAATCTAAGTTCTCATAAAATGATTATTGGCCCTTTAGCACATAAGGGTCAATGTAGGAACTCGAGAACTACTCTTTCAGTTCTTCAGAGCCAAAGAAATAAAATAAAAAATTTAATATTAAATTTACTTGTTATCTATATTACGCAGGGTAGGCGACCATGACCCGAGGGGTTAAATGCCTGGGTAGACTCGTACCCCATCCCTAAAAGGTCAGGCACTTGGTCGGCTCACGTGTACTGCATAAATCTGTTGGGTTTAAATTCACTAATTTCGTGGTCCGCTTGACCAATTAATATATTACAATTAATTAAGGTTTTTAATTGAGATAAAAATTCAATGGCACGAGCGGGATTCGAACCCACGATCTTCGGCTAGATACGCCGCTGCTCTACCACTTGAGCTACCGTGACTTCGATCGCCCATGCCACAAACTTCTCATTTCGACTACCCGATTTTATTCTAATTATAAGCAAATCGCAGCTTCATATAGAAACACTTTTTATTAACGATTATTCTAGATTAGCGGGACTGTGTACGATTCACAGGTGTGATTTTAGATTAATACTAAATTTTATCAGCTTCTATTAAATATATAAATACTCAATTAATTATACACAATTTTTCATTTCGAGAAAAAAATTGTGTATAATTAATTGAGTTAATGTAATTCTTTCAATTTCTAAGACATTAGAGCATAATTTTTTTGAAATCTAGAGCATCATGGAGAATATAATAAAGAGTGAAAAAAAGGGCTAAGACCAGCCCTGACTAATCCCAGATTCAACCAAAAAATATTGGGACCATATTATTTAACTTAATGGAACTGAAATTAGTGGGGTATTTTTGTTGATTTTTTGTTGTTTTTCCATTGTTTGTTTACTGAATACAATTTAATATTACAAAGCTGATTATGGTTTATTTCAAATGTAACCACTGCATTATATTACTGCACAATATTTCTCTAATTGGCTACCAAATTACCATTTTAATAAAAAATGCAATCATCCAAGTATTCGATAGATACAAAACCGAAAAGCAACAGGATACTGAAGTCTGAAGAAAAAGTCTTTCTTGGTATACCAGTCTTCAGGCACCATGTTTATTAATTTGTCATGGGCATCTTTTTATACATTTGTAATGTGAATGTGAAAGTGAATAAACGTATGAAATAACACAAAAAATACAGAAACAGTTCTAGCAAGTTTCGGCATTTTGTCATCATCTATAAAGTAGAGGTAACCTAATACGTAAATCTAAGGTAGATATTTGACCAAATTCTTATCGGGTCGATAGGTTTTTAACATGAAACTATTTGTAGGAAACATGACTTGTGCAAATGTATGAGTCTGTTGAAATTCCATTGATTATTGTATCTTTTGAACCATCTCTGTTTTAATTTTACAGTATACGAAATTTAAAGTTACAAACGTTAAAGTTAAGTTAAAGTTATAATTATTTCACTTTTCGTTCCAATTTTAGTATATGTACCGCCAAAGCGAGTTATTATTATTATTATTATTATTATTAGTCGACTGAAAGATAGTTTTATGGTGAGCAACATAGAGAGAGTGCAAGCCTCCCATCGATATCGTATATATAGGATGCTGGATCACGGAGTCAGATGTGCCAGCTTGGTTGGGGACCAAAAGCCAAATAAGAAAATTACAGACATACGTTGGATCCTAAAACTGAGGGGAGAATTGCTGAACCTACGGCATAAGCCGTATGATCTCCTCAGCCAACAGGAGTGTGAGTTATGTAATTACCGGGTAAAGGAAGACATATTACATTTTGTCGCGGTATGCCCCATTCTGTCCCCCTATCATTTGTCTGCGTTCGGCGAAAGAACCGTATCAATGGACAGATGCATCAGATTGCTCAACGGACCAGATTGGACAAACTTGGTAAATTATGCTAAAGCGGCCTGGGCCTATCGAAGGCTAATAGTAAACGAATTTAATTAGTAATTCTCTTTTCTTTTCCCCTTTTACTGCCCATCTCTTTGCCCACGCTCTTCCCATGATATTTGGTGTTTCTGTTTCTCCGGCCTTAGCTCCGCTCATTGATTTTTACTTCTCAGTTTTGTATCCTTTTGATTTAGTATTTTGTTATAGATATTACACTTAGCATAGATTTAGTTTAATGCATTTGTACCTTTATTTTACAGGATTAGTCAATAATTAATCCAAGCTCCAGTTACCTTGCCGTATTAAGTTTATTTGCTTGCGTGAATTATATGTATTTTTTTTTTTTCTTCTTGTGTGCAATAAACTTATTATTATTATTTCACTTTTCATCACAAAAAAAAAAAATCTAGTTATCTTTGTCAAATAATAATAATAATTTCAGAGTGGAGTGCCTCTTTTGTCTTTCAGTTATTTTTATTACTGCCTTATGCATTTTTTCATTTCATTTTAATAATATAAACCCCATTCTGAGGGAGAATAGAAAATTTATTACCAACAATTGTACAAAGTTAATCAATTAAAAATATAACAGATATTTTACAACAAATATCAATAAGTTACTATAAATTTTATTAAAGAAAACTATTTACATTTAATCTGGAACTTTATTTACAATGGATTTTACATGGAAAGATAAAGTAAGAAACACAGAATTTATTTTATTTTATTTATAACCAAACATTCTTAAGTATTGTTAATGCCGTTCTATTACAAATATCTTGTTGATGTTCAGGCATTCAATGAAGAAACAATTTTCCAAAGAAAAGTCATGAAAACAATATATAACCATGTTATAAGAAGCTTTTAAGAACAAACAAAAGTTAACCCACAATTTTTATCAAAATTTAGGTTTTCAAGAAACTGTTTATAATAGGATGAACAAGTTCAGGATGCTCTAAGTGAGCATGGTGGCCACCTCCAATAACTGCATGTATAACATTTTTGCCATTCTTCTTTAGTGTATCAATTTGTTTTTCTATTTCAGCAAGATATTGGCCAAAGTGTAGACCTCCTTCGGAGACGCTTACATTAAGAACGTCACAGTTGATGTTTTTAGTAAGAGCGGAATAGAATTGGTGTGTGTTTCTTCCCAGTGAATTAATCTTGAGCAAATAGTCATGTGAAAACTTGTATTTCCCTCCGATATTGATCGTGCCTCGTTTTAAAAGAATTCTACAGCTTTCTTCAGACAATGGTAGCTTCAGAGATACCCTCAAATCGAACATTCTTTTTACGCATTCTTCGATTGAATATCCATTCGACTCCTTCGGGATTTTCTTGGTCGAGGCAAAAATCTCATCGACTGTCTTTTTAAAGGACTGAACTGTCTTATCCAATCCGTCGGCATTGCGAACCCGGGCACAGTCTAAATTGATCATTTTGTCCACTCCGTCGGGAAAACAGCCAGCATAAGTGAAAAAAATACTGCTACCGTAAGAATGGCCCAGAAGTGAGACTTTATCCCAATTGAAGTGATTCTTGATTATATACCGAATGACAAAGACGCTGTCTAAGAAAAACATACCGGCGCCTCTGGCCTTGTGAGATGAGAGTCCGTGTCCAGGCAAATCAAGGCAAAGGACACTTTCAACATCCAGTTCTGGTACCAATTTGTCAAAACTGCCTGCATTATCGAGCAAACCGTGTGCAGTCAACAGAGGTTGACTATTTTGGTCACCCCACCACTTTCCTGAAATTGCGTGAAAAAATAAAATGGATAGAAAAGATTCAATGCGTTTCCTTGAAGACTGATTTATCATCTTATGAAATTGTCTAATTACATTATACTTTTTATTATTAACCAGTATAAAAAATAAATTTTTATAATTTGTCATATGTATTTGGATGAAAAAAGTAAATCACTAAACAATAACAGTAAGAACAGAAAGGTAAATTCAATAATAGTGTTAGGCTTTTAATGTTACTTATTCAATTATAAAATTAAAATTACACAGGTACTTCTCTAGGCAATTTTTTTTTCCAAAGATTGTTGGATTGTTACACGAATAAATTAAAATTTGTTTATTAGGAGAACAATAAGTTTTCTATTTAAATAAACTATATTTTAAAGAATTTCAAAATTATTTACACAACTAATGCTTCTTTTTCAATTTTTTGTCTAAATTTTAAGTATAAATCAACGATTACATCAGGCAAATCCATATGGACATGGTGGTTTCCATCAATGGAATGAAATTCAAAAGATTTTGCACTCCTTTTCAAAAGGTCTAATATATCTGGTATGTTTTTTAACCCGCTTTCGAATAACTGACTTTTTGTAGCTTTGACCAGAGCGACATCGCATTTTACATTTTCAACTAATTTGTAGGATTGGGCGGAATTGAAGAGGAACATGTCTCCTGCCTTGAGCCGTTGGTCTCTACTGAAGAGTACAGTTCCATCAGACATTCTATGAACTCCACGTTTCATGAGAATTTCTGCCGAGGCAGGACCAATCGAACCTATAGTCGCCGTTACCCATATATTTTTCGCTTCGTCCCATGTATACGTTTTCGATTTGTTTGGATCTCTGAGTGCCAAGGAAAGTTTCTTGTCGATAAGTTTTCCTAAATTGGCAACCCTCTTCGCCTCATTTTTATACGCATAGGCAAGATAGTCGACTCCGAAATAACTCAAAACTTCCTCAGGATATATGGCCGAATAGAGGAAACAAGAAGCAGAGCCACCCGAATGGCCAAGTAAATGTAATTTGTCAAAGCCAAAATGCAATTTTACAGCTCTCATCACCGGCACCGAATCGATAAAATAATAATTCTGGAATGGAGGGATGTGTGAAGAAAGCCCATTTCCGGGCAAATCGATTGCCAGCAGGGAAAATTCTTCTGGTAAGGCACTAGTAAATGGGTCCCAAGATCCGGCATTGTCTTGCCAACCATGGATAGCTAATATGGGCTGTTTTTCTTTGCTTCCCCACCACTTCCCTGAAACAAGGGAATAACTTTAAGCCTTTAAATTTATAAATAAAATCCATCAAGTACATTGAACAACCAAATATTATTTCCCCTTTTATATTTAAAAAGTCAGTACGAAAATTCTTAGGGTATCGTTTGTAATTTGTTTATTTGTCAAAAATAAACAAAAATATTTATTTTAACAAAAATAAATATTTTATATGTTATAAAGGTTTTTTTTTTTTTCAATCCAAAATATCAGGTTTACCGGAAAATAATGCAGGCTTATGGTTATAAAATAAAAAGAATTAAATAAATCATTTTAAACCTTTTTTATTAATTAAAATACCTTCCATCACTCTCAATACACTTTTCCCAATTTGGCAACTTCTCTTTACCCCTGAATAGAAATATGAGCATTATTTTTAACAAATTAAATTAAACGCATTTTCTAATGGCTTTTGATCAATAAATTTTTTATGCTCTAAAATATTTTCCAGGTGTCTGAAAAAATGGATCACCCTATTATTATTATCGACAGAACCCAATTGAATATTATGCGTATAATCGATATATGTTTAGCGGTAATAATTCAATTAGTTATTATTTGTATGTAAAGTCTTTGTTGAGATGAAAAAAATTAATTGAAATTATTATGCATATAATTTAAATAACATGAGGATATATTTTTTTATTTTATTAAATATTACTTATCGCACGAATAAGGCACAAAAGTTGTTGAAACGTCATTATAAATAAAAAAATTCACTAGTTTCGTTCTGCTTGACCAATTAATATCTTACAATTAATTAAGGTTTTTAGTTAAGATAAAAAAGTCAGTGTCACGAGCGGGATTTGAACCCACGACCTGCGGCTAAATACGCCGTTGCTCTACCACTTGAGCTATCGTGACTTCGGTCCACTCAGACACCAACTTCCCACCTCAGCCCACCTTTCAATTTTTCCCTCCTTTTTGCCATTTTTCAAGGAGGGAAGGTATTGGTGGATTGAAGTCACAATAGCTCAAATGGTAGAGCAGCGGCGTATTTAGCTGAAGGTCGTGGGTTCGAATCCCGCTCGTGACATTTGGTTTTTTATCTCAACCAATACCTTACACAAAGATTAATTAATTGAAAGAAGTTATTTGGTCAATTGGACCACGAAATCTAATGGATTTAATAAGTAAAATGAAGTACATCTTCACTCAAGCTCTCCGTGCCTATTTCATTTGTCGCCGAGAATCAAATAGATTACACGACATTTGAAAAATGGCAAAAAGGAGGGAAAATTCAAAAGGTGGGGTTGGGATGGGAAGTTGGTGTCTGAGTGGATCGAGGTCACGATAGCTCAAGTGCTAGAGGAGCGGCGTATATAGCCGAAGATCGTGGGTTCGAATCCCGTTCATGACACTGACTTTTTTATCTCAACTAAAAACCTTAATTAATTAGATAAATAAAAAAAGTAAACCTACTATTTTGGGTTTAAAAAACCTACTTAATAATTAATAAAGGAAAACAAGAATGAGAAGAAAAAAGAAAAAGGAAGCCATCAGTACTAATTTCCATCGTACTTTAAAAATTCTAAATTTAAGTATTAAATACATAATTTTTGAGAGAAAAGTCTGATCCCTGAATTTTAAATTTTAAATCGAATAAAAGTAAGCCTTTTTAATTGAAATGTCCTACAGGCAGACCAAAATGATCAAAAACGATCAAATTACAGGTCCATCACCCCACAGAAGTCAAATCTCACAAAATGTTCCAAATTATTCCCTATTTTAATAAAACACATTACAGAAAAAAAAGCCGTACCACCTCAAAAAAAAGTAGGTTTTCAAATTCTGTTTGTAAATTCAGGACTTAGTTTGTTATAAATACTGGCTCAAAAAGTCTCCTATTATATAAGCATGTATATTATTGTCAATGCCTTTCAACACAAATACGATACTCACTTTTAAATTGAGAAATAAAAAATTAAATTTTAACGTTTTGTTAAATTTCGGATCTTTACAGATTTTATTGTCTTTGTAGAGAAAGTTTTATATAGAATTATATAATTATATTCTATATATTATANTATTAACCCCTGTTAATTGGTCCCACAGCCAGTTCACAGCTTGACCCTGGATCCTGCCGAGACCAAGGCCACGCAAGCACCGACAGGGCAGGGCACCCCACCAATTTTGGTCCTCCTACCTTCCTTTTACTTTATCACGGATAGTTTCAGATGGATGCGAATAAAAACCATCTGCACAGCACCTAGGGCCCATGGAAAAGTCCGCATCCATCCCACAATCTGGGGCAAGAAGAATACAGTTAAGAACTACAATTTTAAAACGATCCTAAATATTTTTCACTTAAAATGCCTTGAATAAATATTGGTCAAAGTAATTTTTTTTTTTTTTAAACCTTGTGAATAGTTAATCAGCCTGAAATTAGTTGAACATTTACACGCAGTCAGACCATTCTCGTCTAACAGTAATGGTCTAATGTCCGAATTATCAAGAAAGATCGATTTAAACAAATTCCTCAGAAATAAAACAGAGCAAAACGAACCTGCTATGTGGCCCCATGGCACAGGTATTCGCACTTCTTCAACTTTTGTCGCGTCGATTCTCGAAACAGGTGTTGTGTGAATATTTCTCAAACCAGCCAGCTTCCGTAGGCTTCGTAAGTTGAGCGTCATCATTTTTTTAATCACTGAAAAATAAAATTACAATTTTCAATGTATTGTGTGAGTTATAGTTATAATTGTAGTTAATTAAAACATTCTAGTTTTATATGTGCATCAATTCATACAAAAGTTCTCATTGATTTGTCAAAAATTACCTCACTATTTCTAGCATACTTTCAACGTAAATATTTCAAATTGAGGGCAAGAGATAAAGCGCATAATAAACAATTGTCTCCTTAAGATAACGACCAAAAAAAATTTTGGTTTTGCTCGTTCTAGTATTCGAGGCTTACAAAATGTCATAATAATATAATGCCTCAGTAATAACAACCAATAATTTAATAAATTTGATACAAAATTTAATATTAGTTGCAAATATAAGCAACATAACAAAAATTTCACAAATCCTCAGTATGAAAACTTTACCACAAGCTCAGCCATGGAAAAACAGCCTACATGAGTCAAAAACGCAATTTTTTTTATACATAAAATGCAGTTAAGCAAATACTATCACTTTTTTTAATTAAAAGTAAAATAGTGTTAAATGTTGCAGGAGTGCAAACGATATGACAAGTTTAAACACCTGACTCCCCAAACTGACCTGGTTTGTAGATGTTGCAGTGCACTTGCTAAAAGTTAGTGTTTCACACATGAACTTACGGAGTGTAAATGATGAATGAGTATGCCCAAATATAAATGAGTTTATGAACAGCTCAAAAACCAAACAAGGCAAAGAAAGAGATTTTTAGGAAGGAAATCTGGAGTTAAAATGTAAATTTCTCATGAAAAATTGGTTATTTTAGGCAAAAATTGTGGCAAAAGGGATTTTTTAAAATCTAGAAATAGAAGAAAAAAGGACTACATTCTATTCTGATAGTCAAGCTGAGGTAAGATCACAGTATGAGCCTGTGTGATTATAGTGGGAATAGAGAACAAATTGTTCCTTTTCTGGGTCCCAGGGAACCCAGAGCAAAACAGAAATGGTGAAGCTGATAAATTAACCAAGGAGGGCACCTCAGGAGCACTCAGAACCCGAACCCCTTTTGAAAAATTCCAAACAACCATAAAAAAAAAAAGGCACAATTGCAGAAATTCGTGAAAAACTCTTCTAAAGACTGTTTTTCCAAACAGTTCGCAAATAACTTTTTCTTATTCAAAAATGTTCGTTTTTTTAATTTCAATTAATACATAATTATTTTTTAACAATTAAAACTAGTCTAGCTTATTGTAAAAAAAAATTGTTATAAAATAAAAGAAAAGAAGAAAATTCTAAAAATCAAGTATATGAATGCTTTTTTTTGACCCACTATTTTTATGGTAAAGAATCAAAAGATTTTATCGAAAGCTAGTGGACCAATTTTCATAGTTGAGAATTCGTTTTAAATTGTAAAAAACAAAAAAGGAATTGTCAAGTGCATTTCATAACTGAATCAAACATTAAAATCAGACTATTATTTTCATTTTAAAAAAAAGAAAAAAAAGAGGTTAATTTCTGAGAAATAATTTTTCTATTTTGTGAATTTTCTTATAGAAATATGTTATATATTTTTATGGCCCAAAGACGTTAAACAGCTGTGTTCCTCTTCTTTCAAATGGTCTCTTTGGCGTTAAGATCTTTTTAGCTTTTGTTAAATTAAAGCCATTTCAACCAGATATTATGATAACAAATTTTTAAAAATTGGAAAAAATTTAGGGGTCAAAAATGTGTAAATTTAAATTCAAATAATATGGCTGTATATATTTTTAAAGCCAATAAAGCAAAATTTTAAAAAAATTAAATTCAAACAAAATTTATATTTATGAGTCAGGTGCTAAAACAAAATTTCATATTAGTTTCACAAAAAAAAATTATTTAGTTTACTTGAAAAATATTTGGTTTTTAGAAATATTTTGTGATTGCTAAACTTTGATAGCGTTTACTAATTTTTTATTGCAATCTACATAAAACAAGATGTAAAATGATTTATTCACATAGTTGATTGGGCAAGTCGAAAGGGGAAATAAAAATAATTAAAAAATGGAAAATTTCAACTTTTATATTAAAAAAAAAAAAAAAAAAGGCGAAACCTGGGCCTATTCCCAAGTAATAGTGTATATGTGTTTGATATTTTGGAGTTTATAATCAACAAAAATGTTTGGACCAAATCCATGACCCACCAACCTGGTATCCTGATGGATCCAAAACTGACAAGGGAGCAGGGGCTGGATTCCTCAGGATGAATCCATGGCTTAACTTGCTCTAAACTTAGGTAAATATGCTACAATTTTCCACTTTTTAATTAAAAAAGTATAAATTGATAGCCATCTTCCCTGACAGTAAGGCAGCTCTAAAGGCCCTAGCCTCATGTAAAGTGAAGGCAATGAGTGCTTGGAACTGCATGAAGGCTCTGGCAGAAGTCAGGGACACCAGTGACCTTACCCTGGCATGGGTCCCTGTGCATTTGAGGCATAAAGGCAATGAAAAGGTTGACATGTAGGTCAAAGAGGGAGCCAACATGGACCCTCTAGGTCCTGAACTCTACTGTGGCCTAGCATTTTGCCACAAAAGAGGATACATCTTAAAATGGATCGAGTTCATAGAAGGCCATCTGCTAAAGTAGTAAGAGAATTACTGGAAGGCAACCGCAACCAAGCCAGGATTCTGGTTGGATTCCTGACAGGGCCCTGCCACCTGATAAGGCACATGCACCTGGTAGGAGTACAGACAGAAGAAACGCTTTGCAGGAGATCACAGAACACATTTTATGTTTTTGTGAAATTCTTTGTAGGTGCAGATTCTTACAACTAGGAGAGGAAAAACTACAAGGAAGATCCTACACTAAGGAGCCGCTGGCAAGGCTACGAAGGTTGATTAACAACCTGGAGCTGGCCAGTGAGTTATAAAAAAATGGAGGAGCACAATAGATCTACACCATGGTGTAGGCTTGTGGCCACCTCTTTTATCCCTATCCCTAGGTTATGTTTAGTATAATACATACATTTTGTTATAAACAGACCCTTTTGTATTTGTGTTGGGCAAGAGTCTACATACAGCTCTACTATGTAGTATTTTTATTCAAGGTAGTTTTAAGCCCCGGAATAATAAAGTTTATTGGTTTTTCTTTCAGTATATCTTTTTTAATCTGGTCCAATAGCCTAACTTTCCTTTAGAGACTGGTTACGGTTTTTCCTCATCTAATTGTAAAAACTTGCACCTGGATAGACTACAACAGTGCACGCTTTCTCAAGTGGCAGTGTCTATTCTGCAGGCCTAGCAGAACTCTAATTCCATTTCACTTGCTCCCCAGTTTTTATGAGTTTTGCCTAGGGTCCTTCTAGAATTTCATCACTTGTTACATTCCTGGGGCGCTAATCAACCAGTAATTTTACTCATTGAGGATTCCGCCTGATGGTATTTACTTTCCCCCCTTTTTTTGTATGTGGCTAGGGTTGGCCAGGAAGGATTCCAACTGACCCCTAGTTCATACTGTATTTGTCTTCTATAGGTAGATTTCCTTAGTAACTAGGTAAAATATGAACTCAATAAATTTGAAGAAGTTTGACAAAATTTTTGAATAATTGCACTATAATTTATCAACTTTTTTTATAGATAAATGGCTTACTGCACAGTGACTAAACAATTTAATTTGGCCGTTACAGATCTTTGAGTCTGCCTTTCAGAAAACAGACCAAACCATCGACAACAGACAGACCAAAATGATTGGTCCGAATCAAACTGTATCTTCTTCAAAGCTGGCCAGTGAGTTACAGAAAAATACAGGAGGAGGCCTTGTGGCCATCTCTATTATGGGGACTGACTACATGATCCTGGAAACATTTACAACATCCTGTTAAGACACAATAGACTATAAAGGAGAGGAAGAACTCAGGAGAACATCAGATACAATTATATGGTATACAGATGGCTCCAAAACAAAGGAACCAGATCGGATGTGTTCTGTACAAGCTCAAAATATGAGCAAACAAACTCCCAAGTTCTTGCGCAGAATCTTCTGGAACCCCAGGCAGCGAAGAAACAGCCACCCATATTATCTTTGAATGTGAAGCAACGTCTCAATGTGGATATGGCCTAGCATACAGGAAAAACCTAGGGAATGAATTTGTATCAGGAACAGTCCAAGACCTAATACATCTGAGAAGAAGAATTGAGTTGATAGCACTGAACTAGGGTACTAGGAAGGTACAATAAGCCAGAAGGATGCAGAGGCTGTTGAGCACAAAAACCCACTTCCTACTATCCTCATCATCATCATCATCCCCTATTCCAACAGGAGCTCAGTACAATGTCAGAACCTGAGGCAGCACGTCTTGTGAATGCTCTTTCGCAATAGAGAAGCAAAAAAAGGAGAAAACCCAATCGAATAAATGTGTGAGGTCGTCCATAGTTACAACTAAGCATATTAACTTAACGATGTCAGTTTACCTTTTTGTGCGCTTTTATAAAAGGAGAGGACTCAGGAAATCCGAACTTGACTCATTTGATATCAGAAATCTTCAAGTTTAAGTCTACGAAGGTCAATAGTAAAAATGAACAAATCGAACTGCCGTCTAATAATTTACGGATCGATTGCGTTTTAATTCATAACAACGGTTTCATATAATGAAAAATTGATCAATTTTACTAAAGAGATTTTTTGTTGTAAAATCTATAGATTTGTTGTTTGTTCGCGATTTACAGGATGAAATTAACATTTTTATTGTAATAAATGTTGAGCTCCTCTTGGTTTTGTAAGTTTATTGATAGCAGTAACCTAGCAGTAACCTTCTTTGATAAAAGATTATAACCTTCTCTTGAGTTATCGCCACGCGATTTGTGTGCCGCTAACCACTGACAAACAACTGTTGACTGTTTTTAATTAAGCCGAAATGGCATTTAGAACGATTTTTATCCGGCAATTCTGTCTTAATTGGCGTTGTAGGAGCGACCCGCGTTCTTTGTCGACTTCAGCTTTGACTACATGCCTGGGTCGCGTCACCGATTCTAAATTCATCCCCCGGGAGAACAACTTCTCTCACCAAGTCCTCGAAAAGATGGGGAAATACTGCTTAGCGGAGTTGCCGAAGTTCGACGAAGCGAAGGCGGTCGAGTCGCCGAACGAGGTGCCCGACTGGAAAGCCATGACGATCCAACAGCTCTGCGACAAAGTAGAGGCGATGAGCCACGAAGCGCACAAGTCCTCCCTCGACATGGACGACCCGCGATTCAAGTCCATGTTCCAGGCGGTGAAAGAGAGAAGTGCAGAACTGGACGACGACCAGCTGGCCGGGCTTATTTCCAACATCGCCCTTTGGCCCTTCGTCAATTCTGTTATAGAAAGGGGATTCCACGACTACTGGAAGGCCCTCGACGAGAGGTGCATGGAACGCCGGACAAACTGGGACACGAAGAAGTTGCTTTACTTCATCGACCTCTGGTACTTCGCACGGCTGGCCAGGCCGAGCGATTTCGTCTACCTCGCCATCAAGAAATTAACAAATAAGGCTGACAAGTAAGTGATCTTTTATTAAAAATACCCAACTAACACCTGCTTGGAATGATGGGATCATTTCGGTAGCCTATTGGTCAGCATGATAGACTCTCGGCTCATAAACCCCCACGGTCATGGGTTCGATTATCATTGTCATCACTGGTCTTGACAATACCCTTCTCTGCCAACTACATTGAAATCTTGGTTTAACTACACAAACAAATTACAAGAACAAAGTAATGTTTCATTATACCATATATGTTTATCGGTCATAATTTACCATATTAATTATTTCAATTAATTATTCTTTTTACCTAAGGGTTTGGTTGAGCTGAAAAAGTTAGTGTCACTAAAGGGTTTCGAATCCACGACCTTCGGCACAATCTGTGTTGGGCAAAAATTAGTCATGTCTAATGATTGATTGATCACTCAGACCGTTAGTCATGATTGGTAGTAAGTGGCTAATATAATCATTAGTCACTAATGACCAATAAAAAAGTCAATGGCACGAGCGGGATTCGAACCCACAATCTTCGGCTAGATACGCCACTGCTCTACCACTTGAGCTATCGTGAACTCGATCCACTCAGTAGAGCAGCAGCGTATCTAGCCGAAGATCGTGGGTTCAAATCCCACTCGTGCCATTGACTTTTTTTATCTCAACTAAAATCCTTAATTAATTGTAAAATATTAATTGGTCAAGCGGACACAAAATTAGTGAATTTGATGATAATAATAATAATATAATAAAATTAAAAAATCTTCGAACTATATAGCTATGCTTTGAAAAGTAAATATGTTTACATAACCGATTAATGGAAAAAATATTTCTTTGAATTAAAATTTATTCCACTTGAAAGGAGAGATTTCTACATTATTTGGAAAAATACACCATCTAGGGGTCTTGATTGTAATAAAATAGACATGTAGAATAATTATGTAACTTTGGTTTTCGTTTATGATAACACTTTTTGAGGATCGGCCGACTCTCATCTCAAAATTTTTATCCGGAGTCTGTTGGATTTTGATAAATTGTTCATTGTAGCCAGAGTTGGGCAAAATCTAACTAATTCAATCATGATTATGAATTTTGATTGAAGTTTAATCATGATTGAATTAGTCATGAGTAAATTAATCATTGTATGATTTAGTCATACCTCATGATTGAATTAAACATGACTAAATCATATAATGATTAATTTACTCATGACTAATTCAATCATGATTAAACTTCAGTCAAAATTCTTAATCATGATTGAATTAGTTAGATTTTGCCCAACTCTGGGCACAATACACTGCTGCTCTAACTACTTGAACTATCATGGGTTCGTATCCTGCTCGTGACACTAACATTTCTTCTCAACCAAGACCTTAGATAGATTAGATTAGGTTATATAGGAGCTGGCTACTTTACGACCTGTGCACCATGACCAGTATTGGTGTATTGTGCATCTCCATTTCTTTTAAATAGAGCTCCTCGCTATGCTTGAGGCTTTTTACCAGACCCTGGGTTTTCAAGGGCTCCTGTTTTTCATTTTGTAAAATGTCTTTTCTCCATTTTAATCCAGTTGTAGTCTCTTTAAACTATAGAAAGACATCATCTTGAACAAGAAGATTTCAATATTATTGTGAGAATGAGTCATCGAGGTCACTGGCAAGTGGATATTGCAGATGCAGTTGGCATTTCTTAGAGCATGATCTCACGGGTTTTAGCCCAATTCTGAGAGACTGGAAGTGCCAGAAGGAGGCCTGGTAGTGGATCTCAGCGCATTACGACATTAAGGGAGGACAGAAATATTGTCACTGCTGCAAGACAGAATCCTTTCCATAGTGCCCACCAGATCCTAAATGAAGTACAGGATGTTTTGGCAATGCCTTTTTCAGCAAGTCAAATACGTATTCACTGTTTCTGCACAACTGGATGGTTATACAAACCCCGTATGTGTGTATAGGCACCCTATTTGGCAAATGCCAACACAATCATCTCGAAACTTGGAAAACATTCACCACATGTCTGGAGCCTCCTTAAGATGTAAACCCAGTGGTCCTTTCAAGGAGTCAGTGATTTCTAAGGTCTACTATTATATTAAAAGTTTTTTTAAAATTGGCCCCAAGATTGGAAAAGTGATGTTGACCATTATAAAACGCCTTGCCATGCTTCTTCGCAATCCGGTGTAGAGAAGTTGGTCATATCTATCAATAGTAAACAGCCGCACCAGTGTCGACTAAGTAATGTGTATTGATGAACAGTCTGTAATGTATAAGCAAGGCTGGTGGGTAATGGGTTTGGCCTTTATTGATGTGGATGAGAGTTTTCCATCTACTTAGTGGGGGTGTAGGAGCAGGAAGTAATGGATTTGCGTGTAGCCTCTTTGTAATGCCAGTGATTCCAACATAATGTGGTACTAGGTTCCTTGGGCTTACACAAGAATCGGAGCAGTTATATGAGTATTTCTTGGGGCTGTTAGTATCTCTGGTATTCCATCCTTGAGAAATTACTGTGATTGATAAATGCATCTTGTTTAGTTGATGTTGTATATCAGTAAGTACTCCTTATTTGTCTAAACCCCTAATTTTTATATTTAATTGTATATTCGAAGCCTTCACAATTCTTTCAAGTTGTTGCGACAATAGTCACTTGCCTAGGTCTCATGCCTGGTTTTATAGTAGTAAGAATTTTTTCACTTGCTCATTTCTGACCAATCTGCCTAGCCTTGTAATTTTGGTTGACAAATGGAACACCATGATAGCAAGGATAAACAACATATCCTTGACAGGATAGATCAAATTGATCACACTAATCGGTATGAATAAACCACAATGGCATAGCAGTTGGGACGTCTGAGATGGTCAGGCCAACAGAGATGATGCATTCATGAAGTTTATCAAACTTCAGTCAGTTTTTGTTTTCTGTTTGTATTTTTTTTTTTTTTTTTTTTGCAGGCTTGATGCTCAAGCAGTTGTGCAAGTGCTGTTTTACCTCAACACCCTCAGGACAGTAATGACAGGAGTATCCATTTACGATCTTGAGCACCGATTATTAGAGGTGTTCAACACTCTTACCATCGAGGAAATCGGCGTAGCTCTCATGGGGTTTTTCAAGACAAAACATGTACTACACAATCACAAGTTGATGACTTTGATCTTTGAACGGTTGAGGGAACAAGCAAGCACAATACCTGAAGTGACGCTCGCAGCGATACTAAAAGTTAGTCGACCCTTGTGTACATTCATTGCATGAATAATCGCTTTATTTGTTTTTGACAGGCACTACGTCTCAGCTTGACTTATGAGGTTTTTGATCAAGTACCACCTACTCTGGATGTCCTGGAGAAAGAAATAAGCAGGCTTAGTGTAACGACTTGTGTTCACGTATCACTTCTAGTCTCAAGGGGTCTTACATTTCATCAAGGTTCTCTTACAAAAATCGCCCAAAAATTAGTCGATAATATAACTGATGCTAGACTTAAGGTATAATAACTAGTTTAACGAGGATTTTCATGTTTTTAAATAATTTTAATGTATAATTTCCGATTAGGACATTGAAAAAGTCATTTACCCTCTCGTATTGGTTAGCTTTGACCCACATACCTATCCTTGTATATTTGAGACAGTCATGAATGAACTTCAGAACCCAAAGAGGGAGGAGGAAATTGAAACACATCCAAAGACGTATGTAGCACTCTTGCACTATTTGAGCATCAGGAATTTTGTTCTCGAACCTCTTATCGCCAAGGTTCTTGATGAAAATTTCATTTTAAAAGTTTACGGTCAGTTTAATCATTTTTCATTGACTAATTTCAAACAATCAAACTAAACTTTATCTGTTTTGTAGGGAAAGTCAAATTCAATATTGGGAGAGAAATTCTTTGCCTTGATACATTTGTTCGCTTGCAATGTCCAAATTACAAGGGACCAAAGCTGAACGAAAAAACCAGAAATTATCTTTCTAAGGTATTATCTCCAATCTGGTTGATTTGAATTTAATTTTATTTGTTTGTTATTTCTTTTATTTTATTTTTACTTTTTTAATTATTAGAGGTACTCCCAGCCTATACAAGCAAACAAGCCATCGAAACATATGCAGTATTTTATGGATGTGCAGCAAACTCTAGAAGCGATGGTTGGTAAAAACTACGCTTGCAAATACTTATTACCGAATCACCCTCGAGCAGGTTAGTATTTAATTTTTTCCAATTAATAAAATTTAAATCGGTGCGAATTTTGTTTTGCAGATCTTGTTTTCAGATATGAGAACGGCATAAGCTTTCCTTTGCCCGACAGCATCGCAAATAGCGAAAATTTTACCGGAATAATTCCACCACCTGAGGAGGGAAAATGGTTCGTACTTGTGGTCGGAAGCAGGAATATGTTCTCCCATAACTCCAACATCCCATCAGGCGAGACTAATTTAAAGCTGAGACAGTTGAAACTTTTAGGATACATTCCACTGTTGGTAAGTGCAAATTATAATGCTCGGTCAATTTTATCATAAATGCAATTTATAAAATCCACTTAAAATCTTGAAATTAATAAATGATAAAATTTCTCCATGTGGTCTGTAAGGTGATGAACCATGGCCAAACCAGCAAGCGTAGGCAGACCAAAAACGATCAATAATGTCAATAAAACAAATTTAAAAAATTACAAAAATTAAAACAGAAGTAAAGGAACTTACGTATAATGAGAAGTAACAAAAGTTTATATTTTTTCCTCCAAAAACTTAATTATACTTAATTCAGTACAGGTTTAATTATCTCCAATAAAGAGTCATTCTTTATTGCTGAATTGTATTCACAGAGTATTTATCGGAAAAATCAATAATAACTGTTAATTTAAGTGATGAAATTTGAGCGCTTTTAACATTCAATTTTAGAAAAAGATATAAAAATCACTGACTTTAAAGAAGTGACCATTTTTCAGATCAGTTTTCTTTCATTACGAAACGGGAATCACCGAGTCTGTGGCTGTTAAGGCATCAAAGTTTCATATTTGACATATTGACATTAGAGTCATAAAAATATTTTTTTAATTGTCTTTGTCTTCTCATCTTAAATTATGCGTGGTACAAGTGTGTTTGACTATCTCCAATGTAATTAATATCAGTTTTCAATATAATTTTACATTAAAAAACCGGGGATAAGGCTACTTAGAAATAAAACACTCGATTTGTGCATTGAGCTTTCAAGGAGTAAATCTCTTTCAGCTATGAAAATACAATTAATTACAGTTTACAAAATTAACAAGAACAGACAAATATTAATTTAATAATTTTTATTGTACACTCAAAGACAAAAAACAAACATACATATTTTGTTGTTTATTTCAAACTATATATATGTATTTTAATCGTTTTATTAGTTACAACATACTTATATTAACGTAAACCAAATTAATCAAGATCAGATATTCATGAGTTTTGATTCAAATATTTAATTATGATGGTTTGAAAGAAACTTTACCAAAACACCATAAAACTTATTTATGGTTTAAAATTGAAGATTAAAATTTAACTAACAATTTATTACCTGGTTTTCCTCTTAATACTTAATTATGTAGATTTTGTATGCTGAAAAGAAAGCGGGGCTGCTTCAAAATATGTATTACTTATAAATTCTTAACACAAAAAGTAATCTAAACCTTAAAAAGAAACAACCTTTATAATAAAAATAATTTAAAAAAAAAGAAGATAATTTAGGCGAGGAATATCATAAAATGCATATTAAATGTATGAAACTGAAAAAAAAAAAAAACTGTTTGAATCACACAATCAGGTATTAATTAAAACTATAATAAGAATAATGATTCAAAACTTTTTTTTTTAATACGAGGGTTCGCAACAGCAGCAGAGGTTATATCAACCTTGGGGTGCCGGTGTTTTTGCAAAAAAGCCCATTTGTATGTCAGGTTCGAATGCAGGGCCACTGGATTCGAACCTGGGACCTTTACCATACAGTTATGAGCGCCATGTCAACGCCTAAACCGTTGCGGCCACCGACGCCCCTAAAAAAGCAATTAATGTCCTACAAATCCAGGCCAAGATTTTGCTTAAAGACAGCACCTTGCATGGGTTTTACATCTGTCTATCATTGACTTGGAATAATGTCAAAGCCATCGTAATTAAAAAGCCTAATGAATGTGCCAAAGAATTTTTATTAAGTGATTAGCCAGTCACATTTTACTTATGATTTATTATTTGTGCTCAAAATAAATATACAAGATGAGTTTCACTTTTGTTCCTCCCTCTTTTTTCTTTTTTTAAGCTTAACTATTTAAGCAAGATACTCATCAATGCCTATTTTTAAAGGTTTTTCTTGACAATGAATTTAACGGTATAAAGGTTTTTAATTTGAAACAACCGTTCTCAAGTTATTAGCAAAACAATTTCTGAACATTGTTTTTTGTGTAAAAACAAAATCTACTACAACTTCTTCAACCAAGAAGCAAATTTTTATTTATTCTTTTAATTGATATAGTAAATTAATTGTCACACATGTTTCAAAATTGTGTAACTATTTCCTCAAATAACATCGACTAAGCAGGATGTAGCTCCTTAAAAACAATTTAATCAAATTTCAGTTCATAAATACAAATTTAAAGCAATTAATGTTTGACAAACAAAACGTAAAAAAATTGTTTTGTTATGCCTGACGAGTAAATTTGAGCCAGGAAATACACTGCACTTATATGCTTATTTTACAATCTTATTTTATTATTATTATTTATTATTCGCATTTTTGTAAAAATACATATTCCACATTCATTCATTTGATATCAAAGTGCTCGAAAACAACCTTGTGACATTATTTGCAGAAATAAAAATAATTTAGTTATTGCATCACTCGTCACAATTGGCAACCGTGTTTACCAGGTAAACACTGTTGACTTTTTTTTTTAATTTAAACAATACTTTGTACTTTGTAAGATTTTCTAGGAAAAAATTTTTTACTAAAATTTTAAAAATGTATTATCAATGCACACATATTTATTTACGTATTTCACACTCACATAGGACATGAATTATATTATATTTCTTCAAAATTTATATAGCATTTTTCAGTCAAATGAATTTTTTTTTTTCAACCGGGTATCAGCGGGTTCACTTTTGCAACTCATGTCAAGAGACATGTTTGTAGAAACCTTTCAACCTGATGATGAGCTAAGGGCTTGAAATTCGGATTGTTGTGAAACAACTTACTGTGAGTAGGAACCATCTTTTTAAAAAAGGATTGATTCATTAAAAAAGAATTCATTTGCTTGGAAAATGGTTTCATTTGATTGAAAAAAGGTTTCATTTGGTTGAAAAAAAGTTTCATTTGGTTGAAAAAAGGTTTCATTTGATTGAAAAAAGGTTTTATTTGATTGAAAAAGTTTCATTTGATTGAAAAAAAGTTTCATTTTCTTGAAAAAAAGTTTCATTTTCTTGGACAATTGTTTCATTTGATTGAAAAAGGTTTCATTTGATTGAAAAATAGTTTCATTTGACTGAAAAATGATATATAAAGTAAGGTGCAAATATAAGGAATAGCCAATTTTATTCACAAAACAATCATTAATGTAGATTGAAAAAATGAAAGACGTTCAATGAACTTATTTTAATTTTTTTAACTGTAAACTTTAAAATGCAAACCTTTAATCATTATTGAATATAACGCAGCCTTTTCTTGGTATTATTATCTTATCTTGCTCTTATTTATCCAAAAACAAGTACTCTGTGATAACTGATAATTTCAACTTTATTCCCTCATGGAGTGACGTGTTAATTGAATAAATGCAAACAAATAGTTATAAACTTTTTGCTTGCGATAGTCTCATGGTGTAAACTTGTTCTTCTTATCAGGCCAGGATGCTGAAAACAGCACATAAACATAAACTGTGACTCTTGTTGATTATTCATCAGCATGAAAAGAAAGTGACTTGTTCTGAATTCTAAGTGTTTGAAGTGTATTTTTTCAGGTTCATTATATGGAGTGGCCGTGGGTGAGCACAATTCACAAGATGGACTATCTGAAAAAGCTGATAGCCATTTAAAAAAAAATCAATATGTTTTTTGTAAATATTTGAATTTTTAGTGTAAATAAAGACTGTTTTGTAATAAATCGACATTCACTAGTCTAAGTATTATTATTATTAATCCTTGATAATGTCTAGTTTTTAGAATATTATGAATGTAAACTATGACCTTTACTTATGTTATCTCCTATCTAATTAGCAAACCTTTCACCACTTGGTTGTTAAAACAGTTTTTTAAAAATTTCACACAAATTTAACCAAACAAGAAGAAAGTTTTTATAAGAAAATACTTATGATTTGTCATTAGAGTTATTTATGATTTTTTTCAGTGAATAATTGTTTTTCCTTTAACTATTTTGATTAATTGGGTTTATTCTTAAACATGCTATTTATTGTTTGATGAATATTAAGTGAAATATTCATAGTTTAATGTTGTTTTATATAATGGGGGGGGTAAAAATGCTAATAACAATTTTTTTATATTTTAGTAATACAAATTACTATCTAGAAAATATAAGGGAGGGTAATACGATGGTAGTATGGGTCCCCGGAAGACACACAGGTCTGAAGGGTAATGAAAAGGTGGATGAAGGCTGAGCCTCTGGTACTAAAAATACAATTAAAAATGTAATCAAAAGGAAATGGGGTCAGTGGGTTAGATTGGCAGAGAAGCAACTATGTATCAAAAGCATGGTCAGTAAGATCTGAACATTAGAAGAGGGATCACCCTCACCCGATTAAGAATAAGCGATGTAAGGTGTTTAACACAGACACTTTTAAGCAAAGCAAGTATTTGTCTAGCATGTAGAGAGGGGTTGCTTGATGTGTCCTGTTTAATTGAAGGATGGCTTTCCTTGGCAAAAATAAGAGGGTTGAGAGTGTAGGACTACCACCTGATATGAGAATTTTGCTTTTAGGAGTATTTGGATCCCCTGTTCTGATTTTTTATGAAATGGGCTGTTTACCTTTGATAGCGTGACGGTTAAGAACAAGGTCTGATACTGGACTGCCATAACCCAAACGGTTGTCGTTCACAGAAAAATTCCCCCCTCTCTTCTTTTCCATGAGTGTAACTGAATTGACAATTATACAGTTTTGCATTTTTTCATTTACTTCTTTTAACAAAAAAGAGGTTTAAGTCAGAAAGCATTAGTCACTTTAATCTGCATATGAAAACATTGAGTGGCAAGTCAGTTTACGTGCTGACACGTGGCGCATGAAAATGGATGTTGTGTAACGCTAGAAATTATGTCAAACCCAAGGAACTTCCCATCATCCTAATACGAACAATGTTCTATGAACGGATCACCTAAAGATAAAACTAGGCATTCCTTTAAATCTTTTTTTCTATGTATAGCTTGTGAGCACTGCGGGTGGTAAGCTTAAGGTTCTTTGTGCACATGTTAGTTCATAATTTCAATCCCTTTTCCATCTGACCAAAGTAGGGGATTTCATAATTCATTATATATAAAATTATCAGTTAGCATCTTTCGCTAAATTTATATCTCACAGACACATTGAAGGATCATGCTGAGTGCTACCAGATAACGACCAGCTTTTGGTACAAAATATCTACACAGACATTCTTTTAAAAATCTATATAAATGAGAACAGGCAAAAATTAAACATTTTCATTGGCCGTCTAATAAATCAATAACATCACATGGTTTCTTTTTAGAATCTTCGTATGAAATATGGGAGACTGATTATCCCCAATATTTTTTCAAAGCTCTGGAAAGCTTTTGTTTTCACAGAAGTGATAAAGTATGTTTTCAGATATTTGTTTTCAAAAGATAAGCATATCTTGAACCACTTGTCTGCCTTACTGAATATGCCTGAGAAAATACTAAGTTTCTGAACGAAGAATAGCAGGGTTATTGAATCAGTAATAAGCGATCAAAGTCCAAACAGCTTAAAGATTTGACCTTTCCTTAGGTCAACTTGATTATTTGAAACTTAATTTACTATTTTGTGCAAGTTGAAGTTAAAGTTAATGGTTTAGTTTTGATATAGTTTCTTTTTCTTGAGACTAATTTGCTTTCTACTTCCTTCTTTTGCTTCCTATCCTTTCACGCCCACCTTATTTTCCAGATTTCTATGGTTCATTTTACATCTTTTTTCTGTCAATCCCAAGTTGAAATGCCCGCATGATAGCAAAGCCTGAAAGATGCAGGAAGCAGATTAATAAAAATGCCCAAGAATCCAAGAAAGAGGGAACGAGAGCGAGAGACAACATGCGGACATCTTCTGAAGGTTTAATGAAATATAAAACGAGAGTGGGAAGATCAGGATGATCAAGGATCGTATAAACCGTAAGCTTTTTATGTTACCATGGTTTTTAAGATAGAGTAAGAATTGATTGATAGTATTGGTAGAATTTTATAATGCGGTGTCGAAAGGAAGTATACTATTTTCCCGGGACGAAGTGCATGTCGTTAAGACGAAACCTGAGGTCGTTACAAACGGGTTCGGATATTTGCGTAATAGCGCCAAAATCTTTGGAAAGGCCGTTGAAATACGTGCAATACGTCGATACAAGTACGACTGTCCATATAACACCTCTAGAAAATAGATTTTTTACAAAGGGTATTTTTCAGCTTTCGACAAAAGTCGCCACGGACCGGCATGCGAGGAAGAGATTTGCTGTTCTTGCAATTCTTCGAAAGAAAGCGACCGTCGATCCTTATATCGAACGCCTTCGTTTTCTTACACAGGTAAGTTTTGAACCGTACAGTTTGATCCTTTTTCGTCACTTTTTCAGCCAATAAGCAAAAAATGTTAGGGATATAAGCAGGGAGAGGCAAAATACTCCTTTCATTTCTGCAATTTCTATTTGCTGGCTATTGATTACGTCTTTACCTACAACATGAGCTTTCTCCTTATCGATCATCAGAAACTTGGTTTCATTGAAAAACATTTCGCTTCTATTTCACTTAGTAAGACATTTGAATTTAGTGATAATACTTCTCCTTACTACAAAAAGTTAGGTTTAGGGTATAAACAGGGAGAGGCAAGACACTGATTTCTTCCAGGTTGGCAGTTTCTTTTTGCGGGATTTTGTTTTTTCGTAGGCTGCATTGAAAAACAACTGGCTTAATATTTTACTTAGTAAAATATCTAACTTTGACGAAAATATTACATCTTACTACCAAATATCAAAGTTATAAATAGGGAGACATTGATTCCTTACATCGAAATCTTCCTTTTCTTACACAGATAAGATTCGATTTTATGGTTTGATCTTTTTTTTTTTTTAAATAGTTTTTCAAAGTCCTGAGGAAGGCGTCAAATACATCAGAAAGCTCGACAGCAGAAAAACAAGTTGGTTTTTTTCACCTACATGGCTTCATCCCTGATCTCTCTACTTCAATATTTAACTATACTTTTCATCACTTTTCTAATTTTTCAACCGGTAGGGAAAAAGACTCCTGGGTTAGGTTTCATTCATTCATTAGACATTTTCAAGGGTTATGTTCAAACAATGAGTCATCTACCGTACATGTAGACAGAAGCAATGTCAGGGTTATAAGCAGGGAGAGACAAGACACTGATTCCTTCATGTTGTTTCCCTTTATGGGATTTTGAAAAACCTCCCTTTTCATTTATCATAATTAAACATATCAATTTTATGACAATACTTCTTACTAAAAATTGTCGGAGTATAAGCAGGGAGATTGATTGACTGTTGATTACTTCCACTTCTGGAATCACAAGCCTTTCCTACAATTCACGTCGAGAGACATGCTCTGATGATCAGTTTTCTAATACACGAAATCCTGTTAGCTGGCTAAAACTTCTGTGAATCTATCTTTTTCAAAAAGTGAAAAAGTAAAGTCTATTTTTCCTGACATGGCGTGTTAAAACATTGACAATTTTAAGGGGCGTTTTTGTTGGTTATTTGAGATTTATTCCAGTGGATCTGAGCTTTTAAACCTTAATTACAATTAGAAAGTGTTTTATTTCACACAATCGTAATAATGAGGGTTAAGGTCCTTTTTTATACTTCAAATCTTCTCCAAAATCTGTCATCGGGGCTTTTAATCCTTTTAAAAAGATAGTTCCTACTGACAGTAAGTTGTTTTCAACGATCCGGATTTCGAGCTTTTAGCTCATCATCAGGTTGAAGGAGTTCTACAACCACCTCTCTCGACATGAATTGCAAAAGTATTAGTTTAATTAGTTAATCAAAAGTTTTATTATCTTTTGCAATTCATGTCGAGAGACGTGGTTGTAGAACCCCTTCAACTGACGATGAGCTAAAAGCTCGAAATCCGGATCGTTAAAAACAACTTACCGAGAGTAGGAACTATCTTTTTAAGAGGATTGAACACCGCCTCACTCCATCATTCGTAATTTATATTTGGACTTTTTTTCCTTCTCGTTGCAATCCATATTTGAAAATGATTGAAAAAAAAATTACACTAAGTCCAGTGAAACACGGTTAAATCATACTACAAAAAAAATTTCTTCTTAAAAATTAAATAAATAAATCAAATTAATTAATAAAAACTATTATTATCGTACAACTATTATCATACAACTACAAAAAAACTTCTTAAAAATTAAATAAATAAATAAAAATAATTAATAACAACTATTATTATCATACAACTACAAAAAAACTTCTTAATAATTAAATAAATAAATAAAATTAATTAATAAAAACTATTATTATCATACAACTACAAAAAACTTCTTCTTAAAAATAAAATAAATAAATAAAATTAATTAATAAAAGCTGTTATATAACTACAAAAAAACTTCTTAAAAATTAAATAAATAAATAAAATTAATAAATAAAAACTATTATTATTTGATATATATACAAAGACAGGGTGCATTTCTGGGTGAAGATTTAAACAATATAAACTTTGCAAAATAATTATTCAAATATGGATTAACGTAAATATTTAATAATGTTTCACCCGAAAGGAATTTTGTAACAAAATATTATTCTTTTCATTCAACTTCTATGATGAATCAGGCAAGATTCGTGCTTATAACGTAAATACTGCATTAAGCAGATTTATTTATGGTATGAATCATGTTTTGTCGACTGTCGCAAGTTCCTTCCTGATGAAAGACGTGAACGTAGCCAAACTCCGTTATAGAAAATGTCTGTGGATACTTTCTGTAAACGGTCACGTTATTTTTATCAAAGAACATCCTGAATTGTTTAATTTTGTGATGATTAAACAGCAGTTTGATCAGGTAATTTCAACCTATATTCACAAAACACGAACTTAGATCTGCATTACATTTGTCTTTGAACAGTACCTCGTTTATTGATTTAAAAAAATGTTTAAAATGAGTTCCGTGTTTGTATTTTAAGAAGAATGTCCAATTTTACATCAAAACATTCCCCTGGGTTGGATTGAGCACACAAAATTTTTTCCAGGGTTTCATTTTTGAACTAGTCTGTTCAAGGATGTAAAAAAACTCTAAATTGCCCAATTAAAATGTAGACAATACGGTAGTTAATTATTTATTCATTTTTTGAAAGATACCTTTTAAAAGGAGCATCTATATTCTGTATGACTCGTAGTTTTAAAATGTTTCTAGGTCATTCACTGCTTTACGTGCCATGCTACTGACAAAAAATCATTCTTCCTTGCAGAAAATTGTTGAAATTTAGTACATTCCCCCTGATTAAAAATTAATGAAAAAAAGGACCTTTTCCGTTAATGTGCCTCACGACCGCTAAGATCTCTCTCCGGTCCTCAATGAAATGCTCCTTTAAAGGAAATCGTAAATACTGAAAAATTTTATTTTAGAAAATCCGTGTAATAATAATTAAGAGATGTGTGATGTTTAGTGACCGTTAGTCAATTATTCGGACATCGTGAGATGCAGTCTGCAGAAAACATTTTCTTTATCGTGCCAACGTTTCGATCTTTTTTGAGATTATCTTCAGTGCTCAGGTTTCTTTTCTGCGTAATTGTGTCGTGCTAAGAGTGCCCAACACTTTGACAAAACAAACACTTTGAGCCCTGAAGATGATCTCAATAAAGATCGAAACGTTGTCACGATAAAGAAAATGTTTTTCTAAAAACCAACGTCACACCAGACCGCATTTCACGATCTCCGAATAATCAAAATATTTAAGAGGATAAATTGGAAATAAAGGAAATCAAGTTTGAGTCCCTGGGGGCCAAAATTTAACTATTTCACTAAGGATGTCTTCGATAACATCCACATTTCTTGCCATACATGACTACCGCCACATAAATTCGCATAGGTAGGAGTCCAATAAACTTCGGCGAGTACCCCACTGCCATTGCGTATGTGCACGGGTGGTCGGGTCGACAAAATTGAGAGAGTGGTTCATTGTCATATGGCGGAAACTAGTATCTTAGGATAAGGTTTCGTATGCCTTCTACTGATCGGAGATGATGATAGACCCGGCAGGAATCCGATCACGAATTATGGGGATGAGAGTGGCGGTTGATCTGTCCGGCGACTAGAAAACTTTCTCTCGTTTCGCGTCAATCGTCACCAAAAACCCACTGCCGTTGTAAGATTCTGCCAGTTTTGTTTTTCCGGCGCGAAAACAGCGGTTCATCTATTTTCACAGTGCGATGTCAATGTCCACAACCTGCACAAAATAGAGTTCGCACAGACTTGGTGCATGTAGTTGCACCAATCACACTTAACTCTCGTATGCCCAAGCGTTATTAGAAATGGAGACTGATTGCACGATCCGGAAACATTCTTCACAACTTCCTATAAAGTCTCAACGGGCTATAAAGGAGAGGAAGAACACAGGAGAGCATCAGATACAATGATATGGTATACAGATGGCTCCAAAACATACGAAGGAACCGAATCAGGCGTTTTGTGTACAAGCCCAAAACATGAGCAATCAAACTCATTAGGGAAGTACACTTTGTTGGAATGTAAATTTGAATTGTTATAAAAAAGGCGGAACATGAGCACTAACGCCTGTTCGTGTAAAAAGTGTTATACTTGTAAGACCTGTAGGCACGTGGATGTTTCATTAAATCAAGACGGTAAAATTAATATCTTTTTTAAAACACTTTTTCTTTTATTTCTTTAACCTACACACTTCGGTCTTTCAAGCAGAAATACATGCCATCAGTGCTTGTGCCCTGGAAACTCTTAAAAGAGGTTACACTGGCAAAAAATCCTCATAAGATCTGATAGCCAAGCAGCCATTAAAGCATTAGCATCACATCAAATCACATCAAAATTAGTCAATGAATGCATCTAAAATCTCCAAAACATGGGAAACACAAAACCTGATGGTATCTTGAGTGCCAGGGCACAGGGGAATTTTGGGTAACGACAAAGCAGACAGTCTGGCCAGAGGAGGATCTGCAAGACCATAGGCCCTGAACCTTTACTTGGGATGACAAAAACTAATATAGAATCCTCCATGGCAGAATGAATCCAAACAAAACAAAAGGGGAAGTGGATAAACTCTAGCAGTGCTAGACATAGTAAACTTATGATGAAACAATCCTCATCAAGACTGGCAAAACTCTGTTGCAATTGGAGAGGGCCAAACTCAGAGGAGTTGTAGGACTACTAACCGGTCACTGGCATCTGAGAAAACATCTACACAACATGGGTATATACAACGATATATTCCCATTTGCAGATTATGTAATGAGGAGGAGGAAATAGCCACTCATATCTTCGAATGCGAAGCAACAGCTCAATGGAGATTTAACCTAACGCACGGAAAAAACTT